CAAGTCATTGGTTCTTTTCACGTCAATGTACTCAATCTGCAAGATCTTCTCAAGTGACATAATTTTCTCAAAGATGTCTCACTCAAGCTTAGTAACTATTTGATGCAATGGATATCTTTTGGTTTTCGTTAAGTGTAGTATGTAATTCAGGTGTTTTGAGGTTTCTTTTTAGGTTGTCTCTGAACTAATTAATGGATCTCTTTTGGTTTTGGTTAAGTGCCTATGACAATGTAATGAATCTCTTTTTGGCTTTCTAATGTTACAATGTGTATGGTTTGGTATTGCCTATGACAATACAATGTAACGAGTCTATTTTGGCATTCTAACTATGAATCTCTTTTGGGTTTTGTGCCTATTTGATTACGACTCCATTCTGCTCCAACTGTTCCCTTACAATCTTCATAACACACACAACATAACAATGTTCATGACAACAACACTAGTTTTTGATATTGTAACAACAGAACCACACACAAACAGTATAAACCATAGATTGTAACATCTCTTTCACTCTAGCTATTTACACAATCACTACAAACCATAACCACATACAAAATTAGAAACAAACCGATCAACCAACTAGTTTAGTACACCCAACCATAACCATACACACAATAAAAAAAAAGCATAATCTTCTTCACTCTAACTAATGACTCAAGCTTTAAATGGTGTATGTCAAACTGAAGAATTGTGCCTAATGGTGAAAAGTGTTACCATTTACACTTAAAGAATGTGGCATAATAAATGAAGAATGAAGTAAAACAAAAGTTGCATAATTTGAACTAAATGACAAAAAATACTGATTAATGTTAGAAAAGGATAAAAACCTGAGTTAGCAATTGATAGAGATTGTGCGTAGAATTCCAATTAATAAAAATATTTGCTGGTTTTATGTTGAAAAAAACAAAAACTTGAGTTAGCAATTCAGAAGAGATTTTACTGAAAATTGAGCATTCCAATTAATGCAATTTTATCTTTAAAATCATGAAAAAAAACAAAATTTGCAATTTAAATTTATGTAAAAACAAAAGTTGCTGATTTTTGTTTAAACATTAATTGGATAAATTTTGAAGTGGTTAATAGAACAAAAATAACTAGTATAAAAATACAAAACAGAAAATTACAAATTATATTCACACACCAATATAAAGTTGTCTATATAACTTCATGCTGTGTGCATATCTTCATTCATGCATTTCTTTCAAACATAAAGTGTTCTTAAAAAAATAAAGGCTAGAGTTGCAAAGTCTTCAAAAAAATATATACGGTTTTTCATTAAATTATGTTATAATTGACATAACTTGCTTGCGTTTTGTTTTTATAAAACTACTTGACATAACTTGCTTGCGTTTTGTTTTTATAAAACTACTTTTACTTATATTATAACTAAGATAAATTGCATTCATTTATAATAAACATTTGGTTAATTATGAATTAATGTAGATAAATGT